GAGTGTTTTATGTAGACATGCTTGCACAATAATGATGAGATGTTGTGTTAAAGAAATTCCTGAAATGTACATTCTGAAAAGATGGAGAAAGGATGTGATATCACGAAATTATTGTTTTAGTTCTCATCAATCTGATTCAGGGGATTGTGAGAATGTGAAGCTAGTCAATGATTCATATTATAGTTTTGAATCATATTTGGATATTGTAAAAGATGACAAAAAGAAATTGGCTTCATTTGCTAAGAAACAAAAGATGTTGTTGAAGGAATTTGAGAGTGATTATACATCTGGTGGATTGAAAAGCAAGACGGATGGTGAAGTTATATGCAATCTTATGGGTGTTTTTATTCCTATTCCAGAAGAGATTAATATTCATGTTTCGCAATTTCAAAGAAATAAAGGTTATGGAATTAAGAAAAGAATTCCAAGTACAGATGAAACAACATATGTTAATTCTAACAAAGAACATAGAAGGTGCTCAGGATGTGGAGAACGAGTTCCTCATAATTTACGTACATGTCCAGTAAGAATTACAGCTGCTCAATCAACAAAAGACATATAGGCTTTTTTGTTATTTTTATGTTATTTCGTTATCTTCATTGATGGATATGTGCAAATAATAATCATAAAAAATAATATTCATGTATGAATAATACAATATTCTTGTGTCATTATGCATTTAGAAGCTACTACTTAAGACATTTATATTGATATGGAAAATTCATATGTGAAATACATGTTAATTATAAATGAATATATCATATTTGTTTTGTACTAACTTAATCATAAGTGAATAAATCATATTTGTATTCATTTATGATTGAAGACGTTATTATTTACATATTAAACGTAGATGGATATATTATATTGGTATTCATTTATGAATAAACATAAATAAAATTGAAAACTATCATAAATGAATACATTATAAATGAATACAAATATGACGTATTAATGATATTTTATTATTACTTTACTAATAAATAAGTTATATTCATATGTGAACTTTGTTAAATTTACATATTATTCTTATCTTAATTATAAATAAATACATCATATTTGTATTCATTTATGATTGAGACGTTATTATTTACATATTAAACGTAAATGAATATATCATATTGCTATTCATTTATGAATAAACATAAATAAAATTGAAAGTTATCAGAAACAATCACACTTGTTTATAAATCATTATCATAAACTTTTAAAATATTTGAATATAAAAAACTAACAAATGTACGCAAACTTGTTTCTATTACATAATCATTCAACACAAAATAATAAAACTTGTTCACAAGCATTTCATACACTATTTAAACGATGTTAAAAAAACACTTAACAAATCATTTTAAACTTGTTCACAAACTTGTTTCACAAAACCATCTTACATGTTCTCCAAAAGCATTCAACTTCATCACAGATTGTACGTTCTCCCTTACTATCACACTTCATGAAAAACAATCATCAATATTCTTTTAACATTTTTTGAATTGTTTGCATATCCTTGTATACATGAGCAGTATGTACTATGAATTCCACATTTTGATATTTTTCGTCAAGATCCAACAGCTTAGCCTTCAACATGTTTTTTTTAATCGGCAAACGAATTAAGTGGAAGCCTACTTGCAATATTTCAAAGAGCACCCCGGGTTCGAGCTCCTTTACAGAGAAAACCCAGCCCCCATAGGGATTTACAGGGAAAAATTCCTCACTTGTGGCACCAAAAGAGGTTGTTTAATGGAATCGAACTACCAAACTCAAGCCCCACATGGGTATAAAACCCGATGCATCAACCCAGCTAGGTTGGACATCACTTGCAACCTTCAACATGTTAATTTCAGAAGTTAACATTCATTGCGCATACCTTTGCCTTTGTTTCTCTAAAGTAGTTTGTTGAATTGTACTTTCTTTATAAAGACATGGTTTCCACTCTAAGATTGGTTGTCCCATATAGGTCTCCATATGTCTCATTGCAAAGACCCCACAATCAAATTTATTTTTAACTGTTCTCCATGGCATTTCAATTCGTTTTGGTATGACAGTTTCTTTTGAGATGACATTGGCTCTTGAATGGTTTATTTCTTTAAAGTATCTCACAAACAAAAATTTTCTAATCATTAAATAAAATAAAAGTTAGATATGTAATAAAGTGGTTCTGATACGTTGTTGTGAATTGGATACTTACCAAAGGTTTCAATAGGACTCCATATTTCTCTTCATAATCCCCCTCAATTGCACTGTTATCCAGAATTTGAATTGACAGTTTCTTTAAGTTGAAGACAATCACATAAATATGAGCACTTCTAACAATTGGAAATAATACCTGTTTTTTATGTATATAATGGTAAGTATTTTGTTGATTATATATATATATATATATATATATATATATATATATATATATATATAAGTTAAATTAACATATCATTTCAATATTTTTATGTCCAAGATTTTTTTGTACCCATCAGTGCTATCATGAAAGTTCTCCTTGAATTTTTCATACTTTCTTTCATCAGACAATGTTGAAGATACATAAGCATTCTATGACCAAAATAACTTTAAAGGATTAGTAAGTTGTTAATCATAAATGAATACATCATATTGGTATATTAACCATAAGTGAATACTAAAGATATTTAATTTTTATTTTTATATTCATAAATGAATACATCATTTTGTTATAATCATATGTGAATTTCAGTTGCATATACATAATTATCTTAAGTGATACTAAATAAATCTAATATTCATAAATTAATACATCATACTTGTATATTCATTTATGAATAAAGAAGAAATTAATGTTAGAACACAAACTTACAGAAACTTCAACTTTCAAGAAAAGTCATGGTGAATTTCCGACATCTCTTCCTAGTTCTTGGTGGTTAAGTAAATCGGCCCAAGTGTCTAAACTTGTAAAAATCTCCGTTTTTCCATATAGGCTTTCCTTAAATGCTCTTTGTGTTACCTGACAATATTTTGTCTGGACAACCACATCTCTGCAAATATATAATCAAAATGTGATATATTTTTATTTATATAATAACCATATATGAATAGATCTACAAATAAAGTTACTTACGATGTATTCCCTTGCAAGTTGAACAACTAATCACAGACAATACTCTCCTGACGTGTCAGCTTAGGTTTTTTGTCTATTATCCTGTATTTGTAAGGTGATTTGAAAGGATCAGCATGCTTCTTCGGTCTTGGTTCATCCGTATCATGCTTTGATGGTCCTTCTTCTGTAGGAATTGCTACAAAGATTGGATTTGGATTAAGACAATTTTTGTTTGATAATCTAATCATAACCCTCTAATGGTCTTCCTTGATTTGTTTCTTTGTAAGTGGTTTTTTTGGTGAAGATTCATTACACTTTTTACTTGAAGTTTGATTTGAATCTTGACTGAGACCTAGACTAAAGCTTGGATGAGTATTATCTTCATTTTTTGATTTTTTACATGCCAGAAAATTTACATAATATATTAATATACTATGAAAAATATAAATTTTAATGAAATATATTAAGTATAAATAATTAGTGACTTGTCTATTTACCTGCTTCACTTGATTTTTGTTCTCAACTTCAACCCCTTTTTTATCACCTTCAAAATTCAAATCATATATGAATATTGAATCATATAAATAATTATATGTTAATTATAATATATATTTTTTTATATTTTATTCATATATGATTATTGATCATTCTAATCATATATGAATTTTCAAATGTTTTTCCAAATTGTTACCTCCATCATTTCCTTTTGTCTTCTCAACTTCTCCTTCTTTTTTATTTTAATCTTTAGACTTTCCATTGCCTTAAAGATACACATCATATATGAATATTATATCTATATTCAAAAATATTGCATTATTTATTCTTAAATGAATATAAATATTTTAATATATTCACTTATGAATAAGTAATGTTAGAAATTCGGGGTAATAAAAGGCTTGGAAATTCTGAGAATCGTGTGTACACTTTTAGATTAAAGTATTTGGGTGGTACTCCCAACCTTTAATCAGATAAGACTCAGAAGAGTTTCAAGAACAGAGAATATGAAGTTATGATTTTCGTGATTGTAGTTGTACCAGGAAAATTATGACCAAAATGCTTAAAATACATCATTTGTCTGAAAACTATCAGGGCAGTTTTCTTTGTCCAAAAACTACTTAAACTGTCAAAAGACAGTTTATAACAGTCATAAAATATCACTAAAACCGGATTATAAATAAGGGTCAAAATGAAGTCAAAAACTAGGTTCATTTACAAGAATTCAGATTTCGACCCCAGCCAGGGGCTCTGCCCCTTGGACCCCGCTCCCAGGGGCACTGCCCCCGGACCCCCGTTCATTTAGGGGCTTCGCCCCTAAGCCCCTAAATGACAGTCTACTTTGAATCTTGAATGAACTTAAAAAAGTGTGCACTCCAACAAGTAATGAATAACATTACTTATGAACAAGTAATTCTATCTTTTACTTATTCATACATGAAAAGTGTGTTATTCAAAAAAACTAATGTAAGCATGATAATATATTCAGTTATGAATAAGTAACGCATATCGTTACTTATGAACAAGTAATATTATCTTATTTATTTATTTATATATTGTCTTATTCACTTGTGAATAATCAATCTTATTATATTCACTAATTAGTTAATCATCCATTTACCTCTACCATTTTCATTTCCTTTCTCAATTTCTCCTCCTTGTTTATCTCCACCTTTATCTTTATTTGCCTTGGTAGTTTCAGTTTCTCCTTGTTTATCTCCACCTTCGTCTTTATTTGCCTCAGTACTTTCAACTTCTCCTTGTTTATCTCCACGTCCATCATTTCCTTTTGTATTCTCAGCTTCTCCACCTTCATCATTTCCTTTTGTCTTCTTTATTTGTGATCTTTTCTTTCAAAATCCTGAAACATTCATTTTCAGGAAACTTTGTTATTGCATCATTCAGCTTTGAATTCAACTTTTCCTTCATCCTCTCAAAACTATTAAGCATTTTTGATTAATTTTGATTCATATGCCTATGTAATAAAAAGAAATATAATTAGAAATTCATATAATAAATTAGTGTAATCATATATGATTAACATATTCAAAATAATTACCTCAACAGAATCATCTTCATCTTTATCACAATCATTGTCTTCCAGATATGTATCTCCTTCAACTTCCTCATTTAATTCTCCAAGGCCAAATCTACATATTTCTTGTTCAAATGTCTCTCGATATCTAATCTTCTTTGAACTCCAATAACAAATTGTTAGACGTTTATGTGTTACCGTTAGAACTTCCGAGTGGATTTTATCAGCATAGAACAACTGCAGATAAATGATAATTAATTCATATTCATAAATGAATTTTTACAAAATATAGTATTATAATTTTATATTCATTTATGAATAAGTAATGCAAAACATTACATGTGAACAAGTAATATTATCTTTTACTTATTCATATATGAATATGTGTTATTAAGTTATGGATAATTAATATTATTAAAAAGTGAATATAAACATTATAATATATTCACATATGAATAACTTACCACCAAGAAAGCTGAAGGTCCAACAAAGTAGTTGGTATCCGAGTATGGTATGTATGAGTTATTTTTTCTAACGAGCCAATCCAAAACATAGCTGCACTAGTCTATGTTGTTGATATATGTTTTTCTTGAAATATAACTCAAAGGGAACATGTTGCATCTTCCCATTGATGTTGACTCACAAAATGTGTTGACAGAAAGAACTAAGAAGTCCAATTTGAAATTAAAATCAACTTCTGTGGTATGAACAATAACTTTTTTGATTGCATTCAGTCTGATGATTGCTCCTTCTTGAAACAGTTCCTTCCATTCATCATAACATGTATCATCTTTAGGTAATTGATCATGTTGTGTAAGTATGGTTCCACCAGTTGGAATCTCCAACATGTCATGAACATACTGTGTTGTTACTTTCAGTTCCTTTCCTTCAACATCTATGACCATTCTTTCATAATAAATTTTTTGAAAAGAATATAAAATCCCAGCTTCAGTAGTATAGCGCTCATTTTCATTCTTAACACACTTCCAAAACCCATAGATCTTACACATTCCTTTTGTTGTGTGCTCAACCCAAGGATTATAGAGAGTACTGACTCTTGTGAACATCTATTTTTCATTGAATAAAATTCCTTTACCACAGGTTTTTTCTTTTCTTTCTTAATTGGTCACTCCTTTTACTTTGGCTTCTTTGGTGGACGACTACTTTCAAAATCAGAATCTGAATCATGTAATTGTCGCTTTTCAGGAGTTTTTGTGACAACCCGAACCCTTTTCTAGTTTCCGTTAATTAATTTCCATTAATAAAACTTTATTTTATTGGGTTCCGTCAACTTCCTTCAGTTTGGAAAATCATTTAACTATATATTTTAAGTTCTATATTCGAGTCGGAACCAAAACCACGCGAAATTTCGGCAATTCCTTTGAACAAGACCGAGTTCACGACCGGACTTGAGTTCACGGCCGTACACCCGTGTACGGTTGTACACTCGTTTACGGCCGGCGTCGGGTGGACCCCACCACCAACCAGCGACAACCCCTATAAATTTGAGACCCAACCCCCTCATTTACACTTTTCTGACCGGACACTCTCCCCTTTTCTCTCTAGAGTATCGACCGTACACCTCTAAAAGCACCTTTATTCTTCCGGAAAACATCGAAAAACACCATTTGGGGTCATTTCGGAGAATCTAGAGGACGTTTCTCGTCGAAATCAGCATCCTTGTTCTTGAGTGTACGACCGTACACCTTCAAAGGTCGTACTCCTTCAATGTCCGTACAACGTTCATAGCCGTACACCCTGTTCACGGCCGTACACCTTGTTCACGGCCATAAACCCCGATCACGGCCGTACACGCTTCTTAAGCAGTGATTTAGACTGAAACCCCACTTTACTCGATTCGATCAAGTCCCGGTAACATTCCTTAACCGAACTCAAGTGTTTTTCTACACTTTATCTAGCGAAATCACTAATTTAAATACATAAATGTATTTAATTGTTATTAGGATTCCGTTAAGTGCCACACGCTACAACTCGAGGGTATTCATTTCAATTCATTGATTCGACGTTTGCACACTACTAACAGTGAGTTCATACCCCTACGCTTTTTATGATTTTTAATGTTTTTAGGGGGGAATACAAGCCAAACATAAATGATTTTAACAAGTTTAAAAGTTATGCAATTGATACAGTCAAATGATTTCCACGTTTTATAAAATATTTAGATATTTTATCCCTTTTGTACTATGTTGAGCATAAGGGACACTTTGATTTTGGAAACACAATTTCATAGTTTTCCAAACAGTTTACAAACCAAGTACATAACATTTCAAGTAAACTATAGTGGGTATAGTTTGGGGAATTCAATACACAGCTTTTACCAATTCAGATTACATACATGGGTAAACATATAAACTATGAAAGATTTAGTTTATGATATATATTACTACAAGAGTACAACATTTAATAATTATTTAAGTATAATTATTACTTTATACAGTATACAACGGATCCAAATACAAGAGAACACTACAGAATTACACGTAAACTAGATTATACAGAATTGTGAGACTCTACTTCAAAACTGTACCCTTAGGTGTACTGAATTAAATCCTATCATAGTATAACCAGAGTCTCCTAGAGGAAGAGCGTGAGATTTGTGAATAGATCTATTCGGGGCTGACAATCCCACACCTGAATTGCTAGCTACAGTTAGGTAGTCATGTCTGAGGTGACAAATGTCATGTAACCGACACTTGAAGAACGTCGTAAAGGTCACTAGGTCATATCAAGCATGGTTATACAACTCACAATAAGTATAAACTAACATATGTTTACGAGATTTCATTCTTCATTAGTTTTATTTTAATTAATAAAACATACTATACATACTGGTAGTAGCCAGGGTTTTCAAACAGAACATACTATACATACTGGTGGTAGCCAGGGTTTTCAAACAGAACATACTATACATACTGGTGGTAGTCATGGTTTTTGAAACAGTACATTCTATACGATGATTTTCATACAGAATTCATTATACAACATATCTATTAGTAATCAAACATACAAACTGATATGTTTCATACGCTACAACAAGATAAAGTAACAAACAATTTAGTTAATTCTATGATTTCTTAGTTTATGCATCAGGGTTATGTATGAAGAATATTCGATAGACTGTGGAATGTGTGATTTCCGTCTCATTTCCTGTTCCTTGTTTGGTTGTGGACTTAGGGCAGATTCACATAGTCAACTGTCTGTTCGATATTTGTTTATACTTGGCCAGTATGGATTAAGTGATCATAGAAAGAACTGGAACTATCACACTTTTACTAAATAAAATATTGGATTTTCTTGGAAACACGCGAAAATTTTTACAAAGTCATTAACAGGTTTTCATTACAAAACATTACTTATGAACTCACCAGCTTTATGCTGATACTCTTTCAAAACTGCTTGTATTCTCAGGAAATCAGTAGACAGGTACCTCCTGGAGTTTTGAGAAGACGGGGCGTATAGAGTCACGTCTTTTACTTTTGTTATGCTTTTAAAGTGTATAAACATGAATCAAACAGATGTAAACTCTTTTCATATATGTAATCAATGTAATGGTTGTGTTTACTATGATTTATATGACACAATTGTTGTGATACTACACATGACGTCATCCACCCCCGAACGTTTCCGCCGTTCCGGTTTGGGGGTGTGACTTTTTTTTTACTTCTTTTATTTGATGCTTTGTTTCCTGTAACACCTGATCCAGGTATTATTGGGTTTGGTTGAGTTTTTAGGGTTTGTGGTGCATGGACTCGGCGAGTTGGGAGTCCAACTCGTCGAGTGGGGGCATTTTATCACGGTGAAGGATCGGGACCGACTCGGCGAGTCGGAAGGCCTGACTCGGCGAGTCAGTGCTGTAAGAAGAAAACCCTAATTTTGGGGTTTGCCCCCTATATAAACATCATTATCTGCCTCATAGCCTCCCATTTTAAACCCTAGAAGCTGTTCTCGGTCGCAGACCTTTTGTGTATGAAGAGAGAGAGCATTTGGGAGCTTGTCTTTGGGATTTTGGGGAGGATTTCAAGCTTGAAGAGGAAGTATCAAGGAAGGAGAACTAGATCGAGTATCTGTTTCGTGTTGGGCACCTTATTGAGGAATTAATCTGTTACCTTAAAGCTTAAAGCTCTTAGATTTCTTTTAGAAGATTATGGCCATCCTTGAGGAATGGAACCAAGTTTGGATCTAGACCTATCACAAGGATATGGTTCCAGATCTGGAACTTCTTAGGTCCCAAATGTCATAAAGTTGTCTCCTTGGTGTACCCTATTCCTTATGCATGCTTTGGGACTTGTAAGAAACTTCTTGATGTGGTTTTGGCATTATGAGACTTAATATGAACGTAAAGTTGGCAAATTTACGTGGTATTATCAATAGGAGAATATGGATCTGAAGTTTGAGACCTTAAATCCCACTGGAAAGGACCGTATACGTGGGAACTCGTCGAGTCCCTCTTGTGACACGGCGAGTCGGGATGGTTTTCTCATTCACGGCCAAGGGTTCATGACCAAGGGTTCACGGCCAAGGGTTCACGGTTGGGAGTTTACGACCGTGAACATCAAGGAACTCGACGAGTCTCTCGGGTGACTCGGCGAGTTGACGAGTTAAGCAAGGAACCCGACGAGTGGCTAATTGTACTCGACGAGTCAAGGTCAATAGGGACTGTTGACCTTGACTACAGACATAGACTTTGACCAGAATTGACCTGAGGGTTTTTGTGGGATTGTGTTAAACTAATCACCTGATGATTATGGGCAGTTGGGAAGGAGTAGCGTGTAGGATATGTCTGATTTCAGCTTATCAGTTCAGCAGTCGAAAGGTGAGTCTTCTCACCATACCAATTGGTCTAAGGCACCAAGGCCGACCCATTTTATGATAGTTGGAATACTTTCTATGTAGAGGTGTGTGATATGTATGTATGCGTGATATGCGGTAGAGATAACCTTTGTGGCTAATGGTAGAGACAACCTTTATGGCTGATGGTAGAGATAACATTGTGGCTAACGGTAGAGATAGCCTTTATGGCTAACGGTAGAGATAGCTTGTATAGCTAACTGATATGTGCCAATGGTAGAGATAGATTTTACAGTTATTTGATATGTGATATGTGGCATGATATGTGCATACTTAGCTATATATTTAGTATAGATTTTTGTTATTTATTGGCTATTTTATTGCAATTTATGGACAAAAGGTACTTAATTATGTTTAAATTGTATTTTCAGTCCAAAAGATATGATCAGAAGCAAAAGGAAGCAGGAGATGCGATCGGAAGCTCGGGAATTGAAGATCTAAAGTAAAAGAGTTAAATCATGAAGAACTCGACGAGTCTGGATGTCTACTCAACGAGTGCCCACGAATGTTCGCGAAGCAAAACACAAAGTCCTTGTCGTATACGGACTCTACAGAGGGGACTCGGCGAGTCGGTTATCTACTCGACGAGTAGACCCTGTTTTCTGAAAACTATAAATAGAAGTCACATTCCCGAATTGAGGCTCTCTGGAATTTTTGGGAGAATTACTTGACGACCAAGAAGGCATCTGGAGTTCTGGAAATCATGAGAGAAACCCAAGTCTTCAATTCCAAGGAGATTCAAGGCGACATAAGTTTACTTTTGACTTTATTCTTGAATTAAACTATGGTTGAATTGTTAGACTTCGTTTTTGGATTGCTATCTACTATAATTATGAGCTAAATCTTATAGTTTCTGTTTAGGGTAGATGAGTTTATAACTATGATTGATTTACGGTAGGATTAATTGTTTATTAGTGAATTTTATTAAATTAAGCTTGTTAAAGAACCTTATGCATTAACCATAACTATTTTCAGTTAATTGACAAGTAATTAAGCTGCATGAACATCTCTTAATTGCTTACCTCATGTGATTTAT